TTGTCTGCTGCATGTTGATGCACTGTTTCCTCTTTCTCCATCAGGGCACCAAGGCTCAGTATCTATCTGCCAAGGCTCTGAAGAAACAATCATGGAGGTTTCACACCAAGTACATGATGTGGTTTCAGAGGCACGAAGAGCCCAAGACGATCACTGATGAGTTTGAACAGGTGCAGCTTCAAAGCTCATTGCCATCCTCCTCCCTAATAGGGATGCAAACACTTGATCGACTTGTTTATTAGATTAAAATTAGTTCCAATAGATTAACTAATAACGTCGGCTTAGATGTTCTTTTAGTGTTGCAGTCTGGCTGCTGTCCAGAAGAGGGCGCAGCTGGTCACTCTTACAGAGTCAGTTGGTACAGGAATAAAGATGGCAGCTATCCCAGAATGGGAAAGAGAAACAGTGTTTGCTGTGGGATGCAAAATTCACTACACAGTTCTGTTTTGAATTATAATCACTCAACAAACTCCTTAATCTTTAACAGCGCTCATTCACCCAAGCTGGAAGACGAAGCAGCAGCAACTTAACTAAAATGTACTGATGTGCTACAAAGGCCAGCATAATAAATCAGAAATATTATGGTGGAGGGCGCAACAGAGGAAATATTTTAACATGATGAGGGGGGAAAAAAATCAATGTTGAGTTCTGTCCTGAGCTAATATTCCTTCAAGAGCGACCAGTCCTCTCTGTTCATGGGGAATTAAGTGATTCACTTATTTTATTCTTTTCACCTTTTATTTTTTTCTACTCAACAACTTAATAGGTTTCTGTTTTATAATATTTGATAAATATGTCTAATTTCATAACATGACAAAACCACATTTTTTGTTCAGTCAGTATTTAATACAACTGACTCTGGGCCTGTCATAACATATTTTTCCCAACAGTTTTTGCAATAAAAATATAATAATGAGACTATTTTTAAGTATTTTGATGATGGCATAATAAAGCAAAAACCCATTCTCAAAGATTATTAAACTTCAAATTTGAATGAACATTTAACACTGGAAGTGAAAGACATTTCAAATATCCAAAATAAAACATAAACGTCTAGTAATATGAATTCTCTGTAAAATTATCCTTCAAAAAAGGGCTAGTTGACACTAATGACACAGACTGAAGATGTGAGTCATCCAGTCTTTGATGGAAAAAGAAATGAATCATACAAATGGAAATTATTGAGCTTGTTTTAATTTATCATGCGACTAATTAATCGCATGTTTATTGTGACAGGCGCAGCATAAACAAAATAAAATGTAATTATTTTTAATTCAGCATATTATGAAAAATAGCCCTAGAAAATGACCACTCAATTAATCTATCAATTATCAATTAATCAATGAGATTTAATTGATAACTTCCTTCTCTACTCCCTAAACCTGAGATTCTCTCATTCTCCTGTTTATTAACGTCTTTCTCTCTCTCTTTCTCTCTCTCTCTCCATCCAGGGCACTTACATTTACTTCGACTATGAGAAATGGGGCCAGAGGAAAAAAGAGGGGTTCACCTTCGAGTACAGGTACCTCGAGGACAGAGACTTGCAGTGACACACACAGAGGGACGCAAAAGGACAGAGAAAAACAAAACGTGCTGCTGTTGACATTCCGAGACTGAACTCCAAACTGTGGATAGAGATTGTGATGTGTAGTAGAAACCCTCTCCCGACACGGAGACCGGTGTCTGTATAGGCTGCATCTCAATGTGAAGCCCTAGCTCCTCGTGTAGTGCTTTTTCTTTTTCGACAAAAAAAAAAAACAAAACAAAAAAAAAACCACCCTGTGGGTCCGATCAAACGTTGCCACGCTGCACGAGCTGGGAAGGCTCCCGTTGGAGATCCGCGTCTGTGTGCACACTCAGTATGTGGCATTAGGAAAAGCCTGCCCAACCCTCCCTCTAACCCCCATGCATGTTTCTCATATAATTTTTATTTTATTTTATTTTTTTTTTTCCTTTTTCCGTTTCAACAATGATTCTCTGTACCACCTGCCCAACATGAGCCTGGAAGCCTTTTGACTCGACACAAAACAAACCTTGGATTTAGATTGTTATGGTGCCCATCTTGTATTTTCTGTAATTTGGTGGTTTAGAACGGGGACGTTCAGTGGACATTTAGTGATGGTGTGTAGGAACGGCTTCTTTTAAGACCCTACAATGCCTGTTGAATATGGTCACTATTGAAGATAGTGAGCGCTTATCAATAGTTTTATTGATATTGTCTTGGTCGATTAAAACGTGATTGAGAGTGACCACAGGGCCTCTCCCTGTGTAAGGGAAAGAGTCCTTATTGGACATGGATTAAATTGCTATGCAATTGAACTGGTCTCTGACTCTCTTTACAAATAAAATGTTTTTAAGTTAACCTCTCAGATATTATGGCGCCTTCATGTTTGTGATGACGTAATAAACATGTAAAATAAATCTTAATATTAGGGTTTGAGACATTTTATCTGCTTGATCTGTTTGACTCTTTCACCATCAGTATTTTCTCTTCAATACAACAAAAAGCCCACACATTACAGAGTGTACACAATGCAGCTGTAGGTGCATCTCAACAAATCGGAGTAAAACTGAGAACATATAAGCCAAGTGTTTGTTTCTGGTCATTTTCTGTGATCTAGTATTCAGTTTCTCAGAAGTTTTAATACAGAAATGTTGCCATGTACCATACAGTATTTGCTTTAGTTACTGGATTAATGCAGTGAGGCATGGAGGTCGTCTCCATGGTAAAACTCCACAGATACTCTGTGGTTTATTTAGGCTAGGTCAGTGATGGCATGGTTAATAAATTATTGGTATTTGTCAGTATGGACACTGCAAAAACACAATCTTACTAATTATTTTTTCATCTAGTTTCTTTTGTACACTTGAAGTAAGACAAAAATAAGTTTTCAATAAGAAATAGGTGCTTATTTTAGATAAAGTACTGGTTTCACTGGCAGATCATGCCAGCTAGCCAGTTTTTAGTAAGATTTGGTGTTTTTGCAGTGTATAAAGTCGTCCTAAAATCTCCTGGTAGGCAGCCATGTTGAATTTGGACTTGATAAAACAAATTACCTCAACACCAGCAGGTGAAATTACACCCCAAATCACCACCCACTGTGGAAACTTCACACTGGACTGCGAACAGCTGAGATTCTGGATTCTTCTAGATTGAAAAGTTCAATTTATTGACCAGCAGCAGGTTTGACCAGCAGCAACTATACTGCTGGTCAAACCTTTGACCAGCAGTATAGTTTTTCTCCCAAAAACTTTGGGTCACAATCCCTTAAGATTGTATTTATCTCAGTTGTTTGTGGATCTTTTTCTCTTCCACTAAGCTTTCTATTTATATACTTTTATTTCCAAATTAAATACATATTTTACTTTTAACTGAAAAGAGGACCAGTCTAGTCCTTATGAGTAGCAAAACTTTTTTCTTCCACTCAACTTTGCAATATGTTTGGATACAGCACTATTATTAAATAGTTACCTTTTGTGGCTTATCCTATGATTGTGCTGGTTATATTTCTGTATTAAAAACCTCTATTGGTCTCATGTAATATCCTAATTTTCTGAGAAACTAAACCTTGGGTTTCCGTTTGTTATAAACCATAATCATGAAAATTACCACCAGATGAGTTTTACTTTTATAATAACCCTTTGAATTCTAGTCTAAGTTATTGAGATCCACCCGTCACATCTTTATCAAACGAAATAGATCAAGTTCTCCTGTTACTTTAATCCTCAAACCCACTTTGTTTAATTTACCACCTGATATTTAAGTTAAACCCGTATACAGTGAATGTACACTGATACAACTGTTTACATGTAGAGTTTAAATATAGAAATGCTAAAATATTGGTGGTATTTTTAACTAGTGGGTTGATCTGAAGCTGCCGCCTTGTCTTCATGTGTTACTCTGCATCCAACTTTTCCATTCAAACAATCATGAGAGCTCCACATCTGTACTGCACTTAACATTGTGTATGATTTCATTCTTTTGAGAGGCAGGTGGAAGAAGGGGAAATGCAAAGTTCTGAGGTCTGCCTTTTATAGATTATATTTTTGGGAGACTTTTAAGGTTTTTTGAAAGGGAAAGGTCAGTATAGAAGCCGCCTAAAATGTGAATTTTAAAGCAATTTCTCGTTACAATTCTGCATGGGAGATGTCAAAACTGGGGTTATAAACGATTGTAAAAGTTCAATAAACACTTTTAAGAAATAACACATTCTGTGGTGTAAAGTCCCGTCATTCCTGCATGGAATAGAGAAGCACCAATCATGGATTGGATTCAAAATTTACAGAAAGTACTTGAAATTTTATGTAGTTCCCACAAGTTTAAACAGGGAGTGAACCGCGCCATCTTAGTAGGCAAGCGCATGCGCAATGCATATCGGACCCCATGGCTCCCAGACCAACTAAGAGAAAATATGTAGACATATTTTCGTTTCATCGATCCGAATGAAACGAAGAAGAAAAATATGGAGAAGCTGCCTCCGATTTTATAGTACAATATGATTAACTACCTAGTGAACACGAAGAGAGTCCACCATGGAGCAGCTTTACGATCTGAAATCTATTGATTCATACAATCAATGTTTAAACGGATTGTAAAGGACGTACGAACCCTTCACGTGAATTAACAAGGTTCTGGTGAATGGGAGGGTAAGTACATGTAGCAACATACACGTAGGCTACATGTCCGTCTTAGCTTGGAGATAAAAGCTACATTTGCTAAGCTAATTTAGCTAGTTCGGCAGTAAGTGTAATTTATTTATTTTGTATATTTTGCGTAAAAGATGGCACTCCCGTAAAAGAACAAGGCGAGAGCTGGTTCGAGAGCTTCTTGCTTGTTTATTGTTGGCATGGCAACCGCTAACAACTGTCATGGCAGACTCAGAACAGTCCATAGTAATGTTGCTAGAGAAATATTACTCTATTCAGCAAAATACTACAGTAAGTAAAACTTGGGTTATTTAATGACTCATTGGATGAAAAAAGATGGCACATTTGGCAGGTTAAAGGTAATCCTTTTTATTAGACGTAAAAAGAAATGCAAATAACCAATAAATTTTTTTTTTTCCAATTAAAATAAAATGCAATAAGTAACATTCCATTAGCGAACGCCTGATCGTTTGTAGCAACTAAAAAATTACTTCTAGCATCAACATGTGAAACTGCTTGATTTATGAATGTAGTGTTTTGTTTTTCTTTCAATTAACCACTTAACAATTGAAGAGAAAAAGTTTTGCTACCAAAAACTTTTGAGTTTTTGGTAGCAAATATTTAAAACGTTTTTAACATTTCATCTTAAAAGCAAAATGTATATATTTTGTACAGTTTTGGCTTATTTACCGCTTTGAATATGTGGCTCTTTTAGCAAATAGCATATTTTAGAGTTTGTGTGCTCCAGTTAATTGATTACTAAATTAGTTGACAATTATTTCAATAATCAATCACAATCTGTTTAACCGTGATCTATTTACAACCATTTCAAAATAAGCTAGGGTTAAACTCTTTAATGAAGATAATTTTAAAAAATAGAACATTCAAATCATTACAGTTCACATTATTTTAAACCAAACTCAAGACTTTAAACATTTTATTACAATGGTAAAAAATAAAAATAAACAAGGTGGAGCACATTGGAGAAAATGACAAATGCACCAGGCTACATCTTTGACTCCTTTTTCACTTTGACGAACTCTGCCATGTTGGAGAAATATTTCTGGTTGGCTTCGGCCACCTTCTTCTCTGCAGCCTGAGGGTTTACGATCTCCAGGCCCTGCAGGGGAAAGCAGAATGAGCCGAAAAAGGAGAATAAAAACGATAAAGCGCGCCACTCACCAAACGTCACACTTCTCACCTGAAGGGGAGTAAAAGCTACACTGGAGCTGGTTCCGGACGAGCGATCTCTGACTGTGGACTTTCCTCCATACGTCATGCTCTGCTTCTGCAGCGTCCTCTGTTGGCGATAAAACGGCGCGTATTGAGGAATTAAAAGGTGTCTAACTCATGACATATATAAATAAAGAAACAATACACAAACTCCATTCTCTCCGGCTCACAGACAAACAGGAAGACATTTAATGCACATCTACGGATTCACACATCACATTTTCATCGTCTCAGAATCCAAAATGTCTTGTCCTTTACTTCTGACATCAAGTTTTTATACCATTCCAGCCCTACTGTTGGGTATTGGAAAGCTTTTGACCAATGGCGTTACCGAACCTCGCTTGCGCAGCAATTCTGGCTCCGTCTTACACTGGATGTGTGTTGGAAGTTCCCAGAATTAGGGGTTGACCTCCTGGAAATTAAATCTGCTCCATCAGAAGAACTATTAGTCAAGTTGTTGGTTCCTTATCTGTCCAAATAAAGATTATTTCCCAGTCCTGGCCAACGTTCTCGCACGCAAGCAGGAAAGGACGTTTGCCAGAAGTTTCTTGCACAAGAACTTAACCTTTCCCTCTTTGGTGATTGCTTATTCCACATCTCTCCAATCTCGATTCCTTTCTGACTTCTAGGTCAGATTGACCCAGTACATTTCTTTTCAGTCAAAACATATCTTAATGTGAATCAACCAACAACATGACTTTTAACTATTAATATAATTATATTCCTCTACACGCGCAGAGATATAAGGGACAACATAAACCAAGCAGAGCTGGGAGAACAAAGGAGCAGCGAGCGTTTACCTGCAGGGATTTGGAGATCCTCGCCTTGGTGGCCTCGTTGACCTGAGCCTGTCTGACTCTGCCGCTGCCGCTTTTTCCCAATTGACCCAGACTGAAGCCCAGATCCTCCTGATACGCATCATCTTCAATCTGCCACACAAAGTCAGAGATGAGCTTAAAGCCTCACTGATTAAACCACATAAAGTGACATAATAATAAATAATGAGCAAAGATTAAAAAAACAACATTTTATCTCAACTAAAAACAAACATGTATGTCTATTTGAAGACTAAGCTGAATAATGCATTTAACCCACAAAACTGCAACTAGTTTTCACCATTTGAAACTTTTCACACGAGTTAATTAAAAGGCAACAGAGTTGGGTAGAAGCTAGTTAGATTTACTTGGGTAACATTTTGGAAAAAATTTTACTTTTAAGAGTATTTTTACGACGCTGTGCTTTTTACTTTTACTTGAGTAAACTGTCTGGATGATCAACCCACTGTGAGCAACTTCACTGAACAAAGTACAAAGCTTGTTTTAACAAATAAACCACATCTCTGTCATGTTTCTCTTAAAGCTTCAGAAGTTTTATCTCTAAAGAAACTGATTTTAAAAAAGTTCTCTTTTCCCTGACTTTGAAATTAGGTTATTTGTATTAATTATTTTCATTTTGGTCCTTAAAATAAGAACATTTTAACACAACTTTATATTTTGGACTGCCTGGTGATGTAATTTTTAAATATAAATAATTGGTTAAAAAAAAAAAAAGGGCTACTCAAGTACAGAGAAAGGGATCAAAACATCAAATGCTTTTTTTATTGTTGAATAATTTCTACTTTTACTTGAGTACAACTTGTTTAGTTTTACAAATATTAAAAAAAAAACACCACCACAACAGGCTTGACAATGATTGTTTTAATTTTTACCAAAGCTTTATTATTAAACTAAGGAAGTAATTTTATTTAGAGTGATTTAGTGCTTCATGTCAAATAGAGATTATAAAGTGTGACTTTTATATTATCTGACTGCATGTTGAACTCTTCTGACTTTAGCAGAAATGTACCAACGTGAGGTAAAATAGTTTAAAACGATGCAGATTTCTTCCTTTTTTTTCCACCTTCCCTTTCCACCTTTTAATGTTTTGCCACATTGAGACACTCAGCAAGGAGTTTTACTTTTATACAAACTGTTTCCACATTCTCTAAGAGAAATGTTTTTGACAGAATGTAAGCTGATGGGAAGACGTTGCTGCGAGATTACGAAACAAACGCAACAAATCTAAAAACAGAGCCGAGAAGAAAAAGAAAAATCACACACACACCTCTGCAAAGGTCATTCTGTTGGCATGTTTCCTGATCTCCGTCAGACCGAGACGCTCCTTCATCTTTCGATACCTGCAGGGAAAGAGAAGAGAGCAGTGAGCTTGGAAATGGGAGCCTTATTTATAGCTGCTGGCATTTAAAACTTATAAGTGTGAGTTATACAAGATGCTAGTCTTCGTTTTCCAACGTTCAGGAAGCTTCTTTCATTGGAGTCGCTTGAATTTACTTTAAAAATCTGATTTGAGGAACACAGGATTATGATTCTAGCTGTTGCTCACTTTAGGGCTTCGTGGCTTTTTATGTCTAAAACCGATAAATCGGTTGAAAATCAGGCCTTCCTGACAGATTCTCTACCTTCTCCCTCCTCTCTTCTTCCTCTGTCCGTCCAGCGGCGCCGGCAGAGGTTTGACCTGCTTCACCGGCGGCGGCTCCTGCCATTTATCAAACTTCCTCTCGATCTCTTCTTTCAGATCATAGCCAACCTGCAGAAGAAGAAGGGGGGGGAAAAAACACAAAAAGCATTTAAAATAATCACAATCTAAGTCGTTCTTATGGTGACTGTAAAACAAAAAATTCATCAACTGTGCGTGTTTCTAGGACCTTTCCGTCTGAGCTCTCGTGAAAACTGTCCACTCGTGAAGCCAGGGTGCATTTCGCTGCCACCAGACGGGCCGCCTTCCTCCTCAGGTCCTGAGTGGAAGGAGAACAGAAAGTTTAACTGATCGGATCGGACCAGTGGATCATTTTCAATTGACAAACTAGATTAAAAGAAAAACATTAGTTTTCATCTGCTTTTGAATCATATGGGAACAAAAACATCTTCAATTTTAGTCTTGGATCAAAAATACAAAATAGGCCAAATTATATTTTGATATTTTTTGTATGTAATGCAGGAATTGTTCTTGATAAACGGTGGGATTTGCAGTGATGGCACTGGGTGACCTGCACTCTTTCATTTTTACCAGCAGAACAATTTCTGGGTCAGATAAATTTGAGCAATGGCATGTAAAAGTCAAACTGGAAGTAACGCCTCGTTGTACGTTCACGGATACGAAGGTGAGTTTTTCTTTCTTTAAACTTTGTGACTAACATTGACTTAAGCTAGTTGGTTTTATTCTCTGACAATTTCATTATAAAATGTAAAAATGTGCTACTCAAATATCTAAACATTTTCATCCATTTTAACAAACGATGTTTTTACCTTAGTTCGTGTTTATTTTCAAGTATATTATGTGTGTTTGTTGTCGTTAGTTTCAGAGACCAACTAACGGGAGAGATTACGGTTCGGGTGTTTCATAAAAGGTTTGATTTTTGATGTGAGGATAAAATCAAAACTACTAAAAACCGACTCTGTGACCGACTCACAGGCGGCAGCGACTGAACGACGTCACAGGGGTAGATGAATCCTGTGTGCGGCAGCAGAGACGTGCTGCTGAAGCCGGACAGCGTTTTCCTCTGAGCCCCCAGCAGCATCAGGTTACAGGCCGGCATCTTCGACAGGTTAGTGAGGCCGCCAGCGATTCCTGCAGCCGGGACGAGGAAAACAAAGACATCAGCAACAAATATAGGGGGAGTTTGTGAAACGCTCGCTCTGGTTCCGTTTGGCGGTTTTTTCCCCTCTCACCCATGATCTTGGCAGCAGTCGACGCTCCCACGATGATGGACAGGTTCGGGGCTATGAAGGACATTCTGGACTCCACGTACTCGTATATCCTGTGTTTGGACTGGTTCAGCTCCAGCGCCATGTCGCACGCCTCTTCGAGCTGCTTCAGTTCATCCTCGCTCAGCTGCGATCTGCAAGCACACAGAGATCAACCGAGCTCTTTTACATCATCGTTTTAAATGGGGGAAATATTGAGAGGCTGTGAAGCTGCAGCTGTAGCTTTAGATGGTTAAAGATGAGAGGCTCACCCCTGTGTGGTCGAAGCTGTGACGCTGACCACCATGATGGTGGCATTGGTCAGGATTTGCTGCAGCGTCTCATTGTTCTTACATTTCTCCAGATTGTTTCCCAGCTCCTTCAAAGAGACGACAGGAGAGACGAAATGCAGTTAAATTGCACCATGTAGGGAAAAAAAACTGCAACCTTTTTGTCTCTTTCTGACATTAAATCTGGCAAAAAGTTTTCCTGTTTTAGGTCAGACAGGATCATCAAGGCCACCTTCATGAAAGGTCACTTTAATGTTTCTACTTCTTTAACTTCAGAAGTTTACACACAGTTATTCTGTATTTGGTAATGTTGCTTTTAAACTGTACGACTCGAGTGAAATGTTTTGGGATTCTGGCCCGTTCCTCCTGTCAGAACCGGTTTAACTGGGTCGGGTTTGAAGGCCGTGCTGCAGCTCTTCAGCTCCGACCGCAAATTTTCTTTGGTATCGAGATCAAAGCTTTGTGGCAGCCGCTCCTAAACACCGACTTTACTGTCCTCGGCTCCTGTTGTAGCCGTTTTGGGTGAAGACCTGCCCTCCTTTACATGTTGCTTCAATATTTCCACATAATGTGTCTCATTTTCTGAAGCCTCCTGCCACCGTACTGCACAGCTAGGATATTTGTTCTCAGAAATAAATGCAATAATGGTTATTGAAGTCAAATATTTTTAAGTTTGGTTTCATCAGGTCACGTGTCCAAAACTTAAGGTCTTTGTCGCTTTGTGCAAAGACACAGCGTCTTTAAGGTAATCAATAGATGAGTCTCCGATTAACTCAAATCTTGTCGATTAACCTGTCGGAATCTTTTAAAGTCTTGACATCTTATCGCTCCCAAATTGTTTAAAGGAATAGTTTTTAGTATATTTAAACTCACCAATTTGAAAAAAGAGGTGTGGAGAATTACAAAAAAAGGACGTTTAGCAAATAGAAACCATTTTTGTCATCCTAACTGACATAAAACAGGAAAAGGTTTTGTCCCATTTAAATGTATGTGTTTCCAAATGAAGCCCTGTCAATGTACAAGTTGAAAATGTGTGTTTTTTTTGTTTGTTTGTTTGTTTTAATCCCGGCATACCTTGACTGTGCGGATGTAATCCAGAGAATCTGGCACCAAAGACTCGAGCTCTGGAAACCTCTTGGAATATTTGTCTCTAGTGAATTTATGAATTATGTCTAAAAAAAATAATACACGAGACAAAACTGATGATTAAGAGGGACACACATTTCTTCACACTTTTAAACAATATTTCTCGTTTTGCAGAAACTCACTGAGCTCGTTGTCGACCTCCACTGTGAGATTATTGGCTGCTACAATCAGCCTGTACTCTGGATCGGCCTCAACTGGACCTGAAACTAAAAAGAACCACAAAAAAATCTTATTTATAACCACTAACAATATTACACAATGTAAGACTTTAACAGTTTTGAATACGTCACTCACCGTCTGAGTTTTTGCGCTGCTTTCCGATATATTCTGAGATTTTCTCCATAATGTCTGAAAACTTTTAAAAGACAAAACATGATTATAAACCCAACCAGGTTTGTTTACACCAAATATTACCTTATGTACAGCTGGAAAAAATACCTGTTTGCTATTGCGGAGCTTAGCGATGGACGCCACGCTCTCAGCTTTACTGTAATCCACCTCCATCTCCTCTGGAATATCTTCCAGCCCTCCCTCCATCCTTCCCTGACTCCTCTCTCCATCACTGTCCCCCTCCTCTCCTTCTGGATACAGTCCATCCTCTCCCTCATCTCTGGCTTCCTCCAGATCAGCCAGGAGCTCGTCAGCCAGAGACATCTGAAGGGAAATCGTTATGAAGCAACAGGCGGTGGTGAAATAAGGGACGCATTTCAGTGAGAAGCATGAATCACAAAGAGATGAAAGAAAACAGATTTCAGTTTGTATAACAGTTTGTTTTAAAAGGGAATATATAAAGATACTTCACCTCTTCCCTCATGGAAAATAATTTGTTCAGTGAAGTTGAGGTGGCATTCAAAGTATCACCAAAAACGAATAAAAACACATATTGTTAACTTGGCATCTACTTGGACTTCAATAATTTGTTCTTATTTACATTTTTTTTTGTTTGGTTCCATTTTTAATTGGACCCAAAACACTTAAATGTTGTTTTAAAATCACAATTTTAAAAGGTTGTCATCAATAAAGTGTAATTAAGTTTTTAATCATCATTTCTCTTATAGTTAAAGCAACTTGTGTAGTGCTTTATATATTTTTACATTTTTCAATTTAATTTTTTAAACTTAGTTTTGCATTTGTGTAAAGCACTTAGTTCTTATATTCAACTGCATTAAAATCCCCCATAAATAAAATCCGATTGATGCTTGAAAAAGATTAAAAGTGGATTTTATCAAAATAGCGACATATACAGCATAAAGACAAAATTAAAAATATTTTTTCAATGTGATTTTAAAATACTAATCTTACACATTTAGTAGACCAAGTTCAACAATTAAATGTAAATGTGCTTTGAGCATAAAAACTGTTTGTGAGAACCTGCATGCAGAGGTGGGTGTGCTAAAATCGTAATTATGTTAAAATGACAAAAAATGTTTCTTTAAGGAATGTATTTAAAGAGATGAAATGGTTTTACCATTAAGAAAATAATGAGAGAAAGCGATCTGAGAAAATATTTTTGCCCATTCCTAAATTACTTTATTCAGCGATTATCCACACCATTAATAGCTATACCAAGTGTCAATTTTAAACTCATCAAAAGTTTAGGCAGATTAAAGATTCCCTTCATTCAACACAACAATGCAGGACGAAATTACGTTGCACAAGCTCACATAAAAACATTAAAACGTTGGTAAAAGTTTAAAATAAATAAATATTACACCAGTTGGTAATAACACAAAGTGTCAGTTTGAGCAGAAATACCATTCCGATATTTCCCCCTAACCGATGTTAGATAATAATAATGCCATAGTTTCGTTTCCAGTCCTTTGAACCACAACAGAAACACAAAAATACCATAAACACTGAGACAAGCCTTGATGTTTGCAGAAATGCATGAGTGTCTATTCTGGCTGTAACTCTGTTAGCCAGCTAGCTTCAGTGAACGTTGTAGAACGTCACCCGGAGTTTATTTAATAATAATAACTTACCTTCTAGGCTCAAAATAGGCCCGAATTAGTGACCAAAAAGATGCGATGAACCAAAACAATCTGCTTTAAGCGAACAAGCTGAATGTTTAATCGCTGATGTCCTCCTGTGCGAAGTGCTTCAGTATGATCTGCCTAAAGTTCTGGTCGCAGACTGAATACGTCATCATGACTTCCTGGTGCTTTGTGGGAAATCGAGTCATTTGGGCACACAAACTCAGATGAGCCGTTCCAGAGGAACAACAGCATGTTTTTGTTTATAGATGTGACATAGGTGTCATCCCGTGACTGCCTTCTTTATTAATGTTTTTCTCCTGGAGCTTTGTCACAAATTATGAGAACTGTGGCTTGATGAGCCTGAAGTGCAAAAGTGTAGTCATCCATATACGTTCTTTTGGTAAATTATCAATGTCACCATCATTATGTGAATGGATTGTTGAATTAAGCAAATAAAAAGTAAAGAAAAACAAGAAAAAGCTGTAAAACGTTTACTTGTTGCCATGGCGATGGTGTTTTCAAATAATACCAGGTCTTTTTTTTTTTATCATATGTTGTTTTTTAAGCAAATCCAAATAAGTATGCAGGTGAGCCCTCACTACTGACAGTATTGTGTCATTGATGCCTTCTGAACCTCTCATTTAATTTCTTGCATTCTACGTAGATGACAGGCATTATGTTTAAAGAAAAATGATAAAAATGAAGCACATCCAATTGAACGACGTGTGTGAGGGGCGGGGAGGATTCTTAGAGACTCCCTGTCTCTAAGAAAGAGGGTGGAGGATGTTCAAATAAAACATTCAAATTTTTTTTCAACCTTTATTTCCCCCCTTATTTATACACCATCCCCTCTGAAAAGCCTTTTTAAACAACACAAGTTTAAACCAACATTTAAACAGATCGAACAAACAGACTAGCAGGACCTCTGCTGCGTGATCGACTGCTGTTAGTAAAAAATGGGATAAATTAACAGATACACAAACAAATGGAGCTAATTACTTATGACAAGCTTCAATTTGTGGAGCTATAACCTACATTAACTGTCATTAAACTATACAAAAAAAAGGAATGACAAGACTGCTAAAATTTTCTGACTTGGCAAAAAAACTAAAAAGTAAAATAAAAATTAAAAACAATACAGGACTTAGATCCATACAGTACAGATTGGCATATATTAACAAGTAAAATTATACAAAATACTTATTTTTTTATTTCTTCTTAGCAATTAAGACGTTTGGGAAAATATTTTTTATTTATTTGTTATGAAGTTCTTAGAGAAGGTAAAACTTGGATGCATTCCATCTCAAAATAATTAACAGTTTATCAAGGTTAACTAAGTCAGACAAATAAATAAATGAAAAATAAATAAATAAATAAATAAATAAATAAATAAATAAATAAATAAAAAGTAGTTTGTTTCATTTTTCGTGCAGTCCAAAGTTTACATCTAAAAGTAAAAGCCCTAAAACAATATTGTATACACTCGCGTTATGGTATTTGTACAAATGCTGAGGAATATTTCCTAAATACAGGAGTCCGTTTCAAACTGCTGGATCAGCTGCTGCAGGAAGAAAAACCTCTTAAATTAGGACTGGTCTGGAATCCAAGCATTTACATGGACAGGTGAACGACTAAAGAAAGTGCAACCCTCTCCCCTCTCAGTCGGGGAACTGTACAACAGAATAAAGCAGAAAAAGAGAAAGTAAGCTGGTACACAGCACGATTCCCACTGCATAGCTGTCAGATTTGTTTCACATTTTTCAAAGCTCCAGGTTCTTTTTGTTTGTTTTTTTGTTTTGTTTCCTTTTTCTCCCAACATAAGCAGCCTTTTCCAAAGACGTTTGCAGCCAAAGGCTACGGATAAACTCTGTAAACAGTGACAGGCAGGAGCTCAGCAAACCCCCCTTTCATACAAAATCCAGTCACTGGCAAAACCTGGAATGTGTCCAGCTGGTAAAATCAGTCTTGTTTCTTTCAGTTCCCAAATCAGTAAAAAAATATCTTCTGGGTAAATGGCTGGTTGTTGGGTGAATTCACTGCTCGCTCTGAGAGGGTTCGGATTCAAAGGTTTCCGTTTTTCGCCTCACACCAAGTGGGGGTCGTCGGCGGGGCTGACGGTGAAGCGCGATGACGTCACTGGGCCGCTTCCGACAGGCGACCGAGGTTTGATCGATAGATCCTCTTTTCTTTTCGATTCTTTGCTTTTGTTTGGCCCTGATGGAGAGAAAAACCAAACGACAGTTAGACATGAAGGCTTAAACATAAACAAACACCCCTACTAATATCTGGTTAAATTTCTTAGTAAGTCATATCTCCACCACATGATTTTATAACTTTAAGTTTTAATCCTTTCATGCATGAATTATGATCCTTTGTGTCAGAATTTTTTGTCCACATGTTTTTTGATTTTCTTAAGGCATATAAAAGGTAGGAAAAAAAATTAGTTAAAAAAAATTAGGTGATCAATTGTAATTTTTCTCCAAATATAAAGTTGTTATTTGAAAAATACGTCAGCAGTATTGTTCTTTAGGGATTATCTGATGTCACAATATTTTTTTTTACCTGCAAGAGTCGTCTACAGCATGGCTTTTATGTCTGTCGGCCATATTTGATTTAACAAAAATAATTTCTTGCATTTGCAGCTGATAGTGCAAATGCAAATGACAGTAGTTGATAGTGTATTTTATGATGCATTAGTGTCCACTTCAGTGGTTTGTATGCATTTATAACATAAAAATAGACAAGAAGCACAAGAAAATGGCTTTTAGATAGCTGTCCACTGTAGTGACCACTATGCATGGAAGGGTTAATATTTACGAAGTTTGACCTCATAAATTTCTGTTTAATGATCCTTTCTTCCCTTCCAATCTTCAAAAAGCACTTATTGATATTTCCACACATGACAGCTTCAAGCATCAAGCACACAAAGTTTTTGGATAGGAAGCGTTTTAGTTTTAATTGTTGCAACAAGTTCAGTATTTTTAACTTTGACATCCATAAAGTTTTAATGACTATTTGTCTTTTTATGGTTTTCATAACTCATATCATCTAAGTGTCTTTAAATGTTGTGGATGGTGAAGTTGCATCAAGTCAGGCAGGAAGAACTCGTGGTAGCAGTCAGTCTCGCATCAAATCTAAAAGAGTCTCTGACTGAAGACTGTTGCTGTATGACAGTCTCATGCGAACTGCTCAACATCTGGGCAGCAGAAACGATATTTCACAGAAACATGTCCTGGATCACGTCATTGGTTATTGGCAAGCTCTGCTAATCCACCTCATTTGCTTTTGCCACTCCTCTGAACTCTGTCTGGCTGCACAGAAAGCCAGGCAGAGATGTTAGAGTTGGTTCTTTCCTATTATGATCGATAAAAGAAATGGTTTGAACTTCACTTTAGAGTGAGTGTTTGTTTGAGTCTATATGTTTGACAAAAAAAATTACCTTTGCTCTAGTTCCTGTTGTTTTAAATGTTATTTATTCTTTTCTCCATGAAAGAAGAAAAGCAAAAGATGACTTTGACAATGTGTGTAAACTTCTGACTTGAACTGCATGTTCAGTGGCATCAGTTATGCAACAATGTATTTGTGCAAGAATAAATCATATGAATCTGTGTCTGTTAGGCTTGACATTAAAAAAGACACTTTAAAAATAACTCAAAGGAAACATGGACTCTTCTCTCTCTCTCCAAGTTTTAAAATCTCCACTCCAAAAAGCTCTGAGAGATGATCTGAGTGTCTAATTTTGGAGCATCTTTGAGGGTAAAAGAAACTCTGAGCTCTGACTTTCATTTTGCTGTGAAATGAGGTAATGAGTTTACGAGATGGAGAGCGCAGTTTAAACCAGAAAATGTGTTGGAGGGGGAAACACGGCTTAGGATGTGCATTGTTGAGCGCAGGATTAATGTCCCGGCTCAGCTCCACATGCCACAGCGTCGAGGGAGACGGTTGATTATGGGAGATTAATTCTGGCTGCACTCTGGAATAAAAGATGGAGGGAAATGAAGCTGTTCTGTTTAAAGTGCGAGGAGATGAGTTAGATGTCAGATTTTATTACTATGGTAACCACCTCAAGGTGAAACTTTATTGAAGTGAGACACCGATTTGTGAATCAGCTGTTGGACTGTCAGTACAGGCTGACCTACAGGGTGACATTGACCATTTCTCCAGAACCAGAACCAAACATGAAGAAGCAGCATTCAGCTTCTATGCACCACAAATCTGGGACAAACTTCCAGAAAGCTGCTAAACAGCTGAAACACTGAGTTCAACCCCAGAAGTCCTAAACGTAGAGCCATCGATCCAGATTAAATTTCAGTACCGTAATTCTGCCACACTTCGCGCTACCTGAAAAATCCCAATGGTTTCTGAAAGACATTGCGCTTTCCAGCCAATATCGGGTTATTACGGTAATTTACAGTAATTTCACCCCAGCCGTAACAGGAAGTGAAATTAATCTGAGGGGTGCTCTTTTAATAGACTGTAAATTGCGAAAATAACTTGCTAGATATTGAAAGTTCCAGTTGTTCTGGAACTTTCAGTAAGTTCCACATATTTTTGCTTAAATATCCGCCTGGATAGCTTAAATTTAGGACATAAAGGGTTGAATCTAGACTAAAACCTGTTTAGAGTTGATTTTCAATCATAATAAATGAAACACTGACATGATGTGTAATGATGGAACTTGGCTAAATGTATTCTTTACTGGTTTTCTCAATTGTTGCCTGTGTTTTATCTTCTATGACTTTGTATTTTTATGGTGTAAAAGATTTTGAACGGCCTTATTTTACAAATAAACCTGATTGATTGGCTCTGGATCTTTTCTGATGTTTTATTTTGTCGGGGTCCATGCTGTTTCCTGTCTCAGCAGCCAAACAGAAGCCTGATTGCTCACCATGAAAGTCCAGCTTGCTGCTTTTCACAGAGACTGAACCTGGACTTGTAGGAGCTGAGTTGCTCAACTCATTGGTCGGAGTTTCCTGTAGCAAAGGAACAGAAACTTAAATCACTTTTAATTCAAACTCGTCATTCCAGATGTTGACTGTAAAACAAACAGGAAGAACCTGATCAAACAGATAGATTGTAACGTCATCGAAGAAGGACACGTTCCTCCCTCTGTCCCGCTCTCTGTCCAAAGGCTCCTTGGGTGATTTTAGCAGACTCCTCAGCCCGATCCGTTTGTCCACGT